TATAAAGGAAATGGAAATAAATGAAAGACAAAATGATCAACATCATTAGCATCAAATTCATCGACATCATTTTCAAAATTATCTAAATATTTTTTCAAAACCCCCCAAATATTAAAATTTCTATTCTTTTTTTTTTTACGTTTCGTTTTTAATTTTCAGCTTCTAAAAAATTTGATTTCGGTGTACGTAGCGACATCTAACCAAAAAATGTTTTAGAAATGGTTGTAGAAGTTTGAAACTTTTCTAGCTTTTAGAATGAAACTTTTCTAGCTTTTAGATTGACACTTTTCTAGCTCACAGATACTAATAAAAAGCTTTTTTCCAACTTTACCCCCAACTTTACCGCAAGCTATCGTCTCTCGAAATTAGTAAAAGTCGCATTTTTGACAGCACATATATTCGAAACTACAATTTTTTTAACTTCTATGAATGAAAGCTAACAATAAATGACGTAATCAACCCTTGAATTCGAGCACTATATTATGTTAAAATTTCTACTTTACAAATCATTTAAAGTTTTAACCAACTTTATTATTAATTTGTTAGAAACTTTTAATAAGAAATCTTTTCGATTTATAAATAATTAATTTTATTCACAAAAAACAAATATGTATCTATAAGAGAGTGTCTGCACATACTATATTAAAATGTGTACATATTAATACAATCAGTAATGATAGCAATGAAAAATAGAAATTTTCTATAATTATGAAAATATAGTAAAAAATACAAAGTCAAATACAAATATTTTTGTTAGAAATACACATCACCATATAGGTACTTATAATAAAATATAACAAATTCAAAAATTTTCCAAAAATTTAAAAAGTTTGAAACTTTTGAAATCATAATTATTCAGTTCATATGATTTGATTTTGAAAAATTTTTTTTTAAAAGAACACAAAGAAAATATTTTTTTTTATTATTAGAAATACTGACTGCGTTATTATGTACACATTTTGTCATAGTATGTGTAGACACTCAAACATAGATATTTGTTTTTTATGAACAAAATAAATTGTTTACAAATCGAAAAGATTTTTTTTTAAAGTTGCTTACAAAATTAATAAAGTTGGTTCAAACTTTAAATGGTTTGCAAAGTAGCAATTTTCCAAGTGAGAATACTGCTTTTAAAAAATATAGAGGCGTTATCAAAATGCTCGAAATCAAGAGTTGATTGCGGCATTTATTATTAGCTTTCAATTATGTAAATTTGAAAAAACTTGTAGTTTCGGAAATATGCTGTAGTTTCGGAAATATGAAATGGGCTTTAGGTAACGGTTAATTCTAGCAGACATTTCTCTTTAATATTCAATTATGCTGTGCCGCTGTAAAAAAATGCCAGCCGCCACTTTTTTGCATTTCAATGTTTATGGTCTCATTAAAATGACTCTTTGAGGGGCTATGAAGGGTTAACTTTTAAAGGAAAAGGTAAGATATCTAAAACGGAAGTAAATTTCTAGTAAAGATTGATTTATATTTTATGAAATTTCAGCTTTCTTCAAGGGTGTAGAAGTTTTGCAAACGTGTACATAGACGGAAGGAAACTATAAGCACTTATTTTCAAAATTTTTCAAATGAAATGAAAATAAATGAAAGCTGAAATAATCAACATCATTAACACCAAAGTCCTCAACATCATTTTTAAAATTTTTTTAAATATTTTTTAAAATTCTCAAACTCCTAAATTTTTTACATTTTGTTTTTATTGTTTTCATGTTTATTTTGCGCCCAAAGAAGAAAAGACCCTTTTTAATTTTCCGTTTCTGAAAAATTTAATTTCGGTCTACGTAGCGACATCTAACCAAAAAATATTTCAATTCAGAATCTCTTACTTATTTCTGCTTTTAACTTCATGTTGTTATATCAAAATTTATTCGTTTAACTGTTTTTGTATTGTATGTGCTATTTTATGACTAGCGAACGGATCTTTAGGTTTTTACCTATCTTAAGTTGTGCTTGTTAAATGCCTTTCATAAAATTTCATTTGGCATCGATTTGGAAAAACTTTTTTTAACCTTTTTCAGGGTTTAACACCCTTTTACCATTTCTAATTTTATTTGCCTTTTTTGATCTATTTTGCCATTTTCTAGCTACGTTGCTAAATACAATTCAAAATTGAGTCAAAATAATGTCCAAATCTTTAATTTTTCTTCTACTTTTTTTTATTTCACTTAATCTCATAATATTCTTTTCTATTAAAAAATATAATTTTGTTAGTACTTCTTCCATCTATTGAATAATAGAACATAAATAAATTGAAAAATGATTTTGTATTTCTATTTGCAAATTTCAGTTTTTCTCAGCACTTCAATCATTCGCTTGGAAACGTCTAATAGGTTACCTCTATGCTGAAATAGAGGTTATTGAAGATGCTGTTGAAAAACTGAATAACGTAAATGGGTCACATACAGTTTCAGTTAAAGTTAAAATTGCCGATATTATTAAAAAAAAAAGGTAATTTTAATATTTAAAAAATAATACAAATATTATTTCTGGGAATACAGCTTCTCCTCAAAATTTATGCACAAATGCTGAAATCTAGGCATTTAAATTTGCGCCAGTGAATTCAACTGATGTTGAAAGATCGTTTTCAAGGTATAAAAATATTTTGGGATCTAATCGACAATATTTTACGTTTGAAAATTTGAGTATTTATCTAATTACAAACAGCAATTTTAAAAAATATCATAAAATATAAATTGATATTTAACCATATCATAAAATATAAATTGATATTTGTTATTTTTGAATTAAATTTTGTTACATTGTATCTTTTGTTATTTTATTTAGTTTTTTTCAGCAGGATTTAGTTAAATTTCGTTGTTTTATGTTCAGTTTTATAAATTTACTGAAATAAAAATAATACTTTGACAAAACATTAAAATTTTTATTGGTATAATTTTTAAAGTTTATTAGAATTGTTTTTAGGGACCTTGTTCCAGTTTAAGCGACCTATTTGGGTGCCTAAAAACAGTTTTTTAGCACCTAAAAATCCGTTCTATAGTTTTGATTAATACTTATTTCATATTTTAATATAGTGGTTTTACATTAGAAAATTAAAAATTGTGAACTGGAACTGTTTTTTTACATTTCAGTTAAATTCTCTTTGAAATAAATTCTTGAAAACATCAATTTATTAAAAAAATCTGAAGTGGTCAGCACATAACCGACCGCAATGTGTGTTGCCTAGTTAAGTGAAAGTGTTACAGAATATTATAAAAATGTCTGTAAATACTTCTTTCCAATTTTTAGGACATTAGTAAGCTTATAGTTAACATACCTAGAAAAATTTAAATTTGGCTCTTAGTAGAATTTCGCTTTGTGCTACCCGAATTGCTCGCCAGTTAGTTTCGGTAACAACCAGAACTCAAATATCAAATTTCAAGAAATTCCATCAATTCGTTTCGTAGATATGGTGAAAAATGTAAAATCGGCCCGCAGATCAGTTTTCGAGCCCTGATCTTTACAAAAAATTTTTATGTTCATTGTTTTAATACGAGGAATTTAAATATTAAATTTCAATGAAATCGGTTGAATATTTCTCTTTATATACGCAAAAATGTATTTTTGGCCCGTAGTAAACGCCCAGTTGGTGATACCTGATTTCTTCCAAAAGTTAGGAATTTTTGTGTACGGTCGAGTAAAGCTTATATATGAAATTTCAAGTAAATCGGTTGAATATTTTCTTCAAAATATTGAAAAATGTAAAATCGGCCCGCAAATCATTTTTCGAGCCCTGACCTTTCCAAAAAATTTGTATGTTCATTGTTTTAATACGAGGAATTTAAATATTAAATTTCAATGAAATCGGTTGATTATTTCTCTTTATATACACAAAAATGTATTTTTGGCCCGTAGTTAACGCCCAGTTGCTGATGCCTGATTTCTTCCAAAAGTTAGGAATTTTTGCGGACGGTCGAGCAAAGCTTATATATGAAATTTCAAGTAAATCGGTTGAATATTTTCTTCAAAATATTCAAAAATGTAAAACAGACCCGCTAAAAAGTGCAGTTCCCGAGACCTGATATATCCCAAAAGTTGATCAATCCGTGCCATGGTGGAAATAAACTTACATATAAAATTTCATCAAAATCGGTTCAGCAGAACTTGAGATACACGCGTGCACACACAGACCGACAGGTTGCTAAAAATAGTTTATTTACACTTCCCTACTATGGAGAAGTACGTTCCCACCGAAAACTCGATATGCAAAATTTGTTGCCATCACATAACCTTCCTATTGTGTACACAATACGGTCGGTAAAAATGAATGAAATATACTTTTTTGCAGCACAAATATTTACGCTAAGAAAATATTTAACTACGAAATGTATTTCTGTGTTTGACGAGCTTATTGTTTCGTCTCGCATGAAAGTTGTATTCAAAATTTGCTTTTTAAAAGTCATTGGTCGAAATAGACAGATCTGTGGTATTCTGTCATACTTCTTATAGAAGAAATCCAGGCTTGATAAAGTGCGTTGTTGTGCTAGAAATATAAGACATTATCACAAATAAGAGTCTTTTTCGAATTAAAGAAAATTTTTTCTTCATTCTTTTTAGAAGTTACAGATTTGAATTCGGATTTAGAGTTTCAATTCACCTTGTAAAAATTCTTTTTGTAGTGTAATTAATACATATTTTATTTACTTTTGTGATTCAACCTTGAACTAAACTCTCCACATGGCTTTCCGTTTTATTTGTAACCAACACATTCATGTGAAAGTGGTAACATTTTTGTTTTATTTACTTAATAGAAAATTCTCAATAACTTTAAACAGTTTGTTAAAATAAGTAACTAAACGTGCTTATTCACATTTATAATGTTTTTTAATATAAAATTGAACTTCTGAAACAGAAGACTTTTTAGATTTAAAAATAATAAAAATGATCTCATGTAATTGCGCAGCAATCACTTGTTAGATATTTTAATTTGCGAGTTGGTTTTAAAATAAGTAATAATAGCAGTAAAAAGCATGAAATGAAAAGTAACAACATACCAGCTTCACTTCCGTCATCTATATCATTTGTTAAAACTAAAATCAGCTCATTTTTTTGGTGTAAGTCATGCACTAGTTGAGCACGATCGTCATTGCAAGACTTTAGTTCATGTTCTAACTCAATAATTCGGCTTTCTAAGCGATTATTTTGCGTTAATAGCTCTTTACCGATTTGTACAGTTAGTTCTAAATCCTTTTCCTTTTCTTCAAGAAGGCGTGTTACTGCTTCAATATCATCATATGTGCGTGTCATTTGGCTTACCCGATTTCCACAAAGAACTGAAATCAATATAAAATTTACTGTTAAAAAATTTTTCTATACCTAAATGATTTACTTAATGCTTCTATACCAGAATGATTTAATGAACAAAGCTTAAAGCAAATAACATAGAACGTGTTTCACTGCGAATCGTTATTTTCATGAATAACTTTCTATTTTCAAGTTCATTAGTTTCTCGAAAAACGGAATTCCAATTCGAAAATTCAAATATTAAAGTTTTCAGTGCGAATATCGATTTATCTTCTATGTAAATAGGTCAGTATATGATTAATTTGCCGTCCAAGAAACAAACCAAGGAAAAGACCACCATGACACCAGAATTTCGAAATAAATTTAGGACTTGCTTCTTGAAGAAGAGTTTGATTGTGCCTCACATAGAGTGGAGACAGTGGGCAGATCGAAGATCCCGAGATGATCTTAAAATCAAAAGACTGGAGAATCCGTTCATTCCAACTGAAAGGTTCTCCTCATAAAGGAGGGGGAATCCTTATGGAAGGGGGATTATATTCGCCTCTTTATGTAGGAGGGGGACTCCAACATTTTGGAAAATATTTATCTTAGGCTGATGAAACTGAACCCAGGAATGACGATCAAAATAATCTACAGACAAACGGTATGGAAAAGACCTGGGGATTGATGTGTTCGGATATAAGATAATGCACACAAATTTCTAAAGTTCGATGAAAGATAAATGTAAACCAAATGCATTATCAAAATTTTTGAGGTGCAGCTTGGATCATGTGACATTGCTAGTTGTATGCTTTATTTGAAATGGGATACTGTATTATCGTTATAGCGTAAGTTATTCAACAGGTGGAGAAGTATGAAGGAAAGCAACAGAATAAACATCTCTGCTGGTTTTCTCATACATGCGATTGGGAGTCCTCCGCCGAAAGAGATTCAAGTGAATGGGGTCCATAATAAACCTGAACTGGTAGTCGATTGACTCTAACACTCATCTCACAATAAAAATCTAAAGAGATCTTTATTACAATTTATTGTTAATACCAACCATATTAAATAGGAAAAAGGGGCGAAATCTTCAAACACATTTGCTCCTTTAGTGAAAATGTTCTGGACAAAACGTTATACACGAGTACGAATACCTGTAGTCTCTTGAATTGGCACGTTTCATTGAATCAGTCAGTGCCTAACCGTAGGCATACTACATTTAATACAACGTATACTAAAACTACTAATCACCAAATTTTTCGGAACCCTGGGTCCACCAACTGGTGAAATAATGAAAAAAGTGTTACACATTTTAAAGATCATAGCCCTTACAATAAACTGTACAACCTTCTTGATGGAAAAAGAACAATACCCAAACGTATTAATAAAACGAGCCAAATGGGTTGAGTGTGTTATGTGGTAATCTGGCTGTCTGCCTTGAAGAAACACATTTGCTCCTTTAGTGAAAATGTTCTGGACAAAACGTTATACACGAGTACGAATACCTGTAGTCTCTTGAATTGGCACGTTTCATTGAATCAGTCAGTGCCTAACCGTAGGCATACTACATTTAATACAACGTATACTAAAACTACTAATCACCAAATTTTTCGGAACCCTGGGTCCACCAACTGGTGAAATAATGAAAAAAGTGTTACACATTTTAAAGATCATAGCCCTTACAATAAACTGTACAACCTTCTTGATGGAAAAAGAACAATACCCAAACGTATTAATAAAACGAGCCAAATGGGTTGAGTGTGTTATGTGGTAATCTGGCTGTCTGCCTTGAAGAAAAACAGTTATTCTTTTGTCCTGAGATGTTTTATTTATCCTAAGACGCCTGACATGCTTAGAACTAGTTTGTTTATCTCCGAGAGATATCTCTGTAAAGTGCGCCGGAACGAAGTGTGTGGTTCGCTTGAAAGAATCAAATATTTTTGCTACAAAACACTATGGACAGAATAGGGTCACAGTTATCTAATGAACTGACTACATTTTGCTGATACAGTGGCACTCGCAAGAAGGGAGGAATTGGTCCCACGGGCAGACTAAATTTCTATACAGACGGCTCAGACGGCTCAAGTATGGTCTCGGGTTGGGAGCCCGTATTTATTTTTTTGATTTATGGATTAGCTCGACTTAGACCCGGCCCTCTGAGTGCGTAGCTGGACATATATGTACATATAATATATGTACGAATTATTTTGTAGAAACGAATAGCATAAAAGGTATGCCAATACAAGTAATCTTTTTTGAATCGATTAGAATCTTACATAGTGCAAAAACTTTATAAATTATGAAAAAGATTTAAAGAACAAGCAAAAGTATAAAAACATCCTTTTGTACATGAAGTTAATTTTGGAAAAATTTCATATTATGTTCATATATTCAGTATTATGTATTAAGTTTAAAGACTAAAATAACAACATATTTATTAATTAGTCTGAGGTTATATGAGCAACGTAGTCAATATAAAGATTTCTGCACTTTTAACGAATTCTATTAACGAAATATTATTAGATTTTTATAAATATTGCATAATAATAACAGCAAAATCTAATACTGCAAAAAAACATAATTTGATGCACAATATAATTTTAACTATTCTGTAACGCATATTAAAGGGAAACATGGTTCATATGGTTTAACTGCCCTACGCAATAATTTCACTATATTGCTGATTATTTGGCAATATTTATTAAGAAACTAAATTAGCAACACTTTTTTAATTTTTTTGCCTTTCTTTTATTGAATCGACCATTTGTTTCGAAATGTAAACCAATTTTCGTTATTTCTAAGTTACACAACAAAATTTAATACATTTATTTCTTAAATTGCTTAAATGACTTTTCTGACAAAATACAGTGTCAGAAAATTTGTTCATATATTTGTAGAATAGTTTTGTACCAACTTTTTTTAGCTTTTGAAAGTAATTTACACTTTGCTTCAAATTCCGGAAGTCGAAGTTATATTTCTGTGTTTTGCCGTTATTCTTCCCAACGAAATGTAAAAAAGAAATAAAAACTACTTACAATATTAACTTAATGGAAATTTCTTCATACAACTGCAGAACGGATGGATGATGTAATCAAAGGAACGAGTTTATGGCAGAAAAATTAAAAAATTTTTCTCCTCGAACTGGACTCGAACCAATGACCTACCGCATTCTAGGCGAACGCTCTACCAATTGAGTTACAGAAGATTGAAGAAATTTCCGACGAAATGTTCTTTACATTGCTTTATAATGCAATCCACATGATTACCAATTATTGTTTACATTTGAGTTGCTACATGAAGAAATTTCCATTAAGTTAATATAATTAGTGTAATAGACACATTACTTGATAACTTAAAGTTAATATTAAAGTTGTATCATTTATGCGTACATTTGTATATATCAATCTGACAACATAATTATATAAATTTGAAGATTAAAAGTAATAATAGTTCGTTTTCGTAATTTCAAAAATTACAATTTTTCAATAGGCTTGACAAGAATATGCATTTTCGGAAGCGCTGCGTCTATTCGTAAATGTTGAATTTTTTTAGCAATTTTTTAATATGTTTAATGACTGTAGAACTTTAAATGAAAACTTAATTTTTTTTGTTATTATTTCCTTTCAAGCTTAACATGCAAGCTCAAAATTTAGTGCCCAAGAGGGCATCAAATTGGTTATATTGAATAGGTAAAGTATAATCGGAAAGTAATTCGTGCAGCACCGATGTGTAGTCATGTAAAAATCTTGTACGAAAATGCATACGGTAATACTATAAAGTTTGGTGTCTAAAAATGTCGAAAATAGGCATTAAATGTGCATCATATTAAATCAGCTGTGCATCAATTTTCTTTGTGATTTTGTATTGATTATGTAAATGGAATTTGAGATTTTGTGATTTTGTACATGGAAACTGAGAAGTAAATAATTTTTTATTTTTACTCAATAACTAATAAAGTTAATTGTTTTTTTATGCACAGTATTAATATTTTTAAATGTTTCATTATATTAAAATCTTCATAAATTAATTGAAGTTAAAAAAATTTTTCTAATAGATTTTCAGTTTTTTATAACTTTAGTACTTTTAAAATCATTAAACCTTTTCAAAATAAACGCCAAAAAAACGTATGATTTAGAGAGTGTCCAAAAATGTCAAAATAATATTGCATCTGCAAGATAAACGCAGCACATCAGTATAGCATCAACAACTTTTTTTGATTACTTGAAATATTTTTGATTACTTTTCGATTAGGTGAGATGTAAATTGATTAATTGTCTCAGTATATATTACTTTTAATTATATTTTTTTATATTAAAATTTCATTTACTTTTTCATTTAGTGTTTATATTTCACAGAAGCTTTATACGGACATTTGTATATGCATGTAGATCAACATTTACATATTTTATCGGATTGTATGGCTATTCGTATTTATGGTAAATTTTAAAGAAAAGAATGTGTAATGGTTTTGTAAATTAGTAGTAAGTTTTGAACAACAAAATGTCTGTACTAATATAAACCAAAAAGTTTAAAACATAGAGAAAAATTTAAAACTTACTTAAAAAACTGTTATAAGAAATTATAAGTAATTTCTTAAATTTGAAAGAATAAAAATTTTAAACCATTTGAGTTTAAATTTATTATTTTTTATAAGAAATTTATATAATAAAAATAGTTATAATTATCTTTATTTTTAATCCTCGAAAAAAACTGAAATCCTATTCTAAATTTTTTAAACTTTTGTTTAATTTACTTTAATATTTTATGTTAATCCCTAATGCGTTAGAATGTTAACTTATAATAATTAATTTTTTTTAGTTTTTTCTTTTATTTAAAATATTTAGGTAAAAAAAGCGATCACAATTATTGCCCTTTTTTAAATATATTATATAGCCCAGACATATGGTACTCGTAACCCAGTTAAATGCTTCCTTTTTTTATTTCATACAGGTAGCTTTCAATTTGAATCAATTAACCCAATCTTTCAATTTTCTTATTTAAGTAGATTTTTAATTTGGTCACTTACTGGTAATTGATGTACAAAGAT